TACTGTCAATAAGAAGACACAAGATTTAACTATACTGTGTACTGTCAATAAGAAGACGCAAGATTTATTTTCCATTATTATACATAATATATGTATATAGATTATTACTGTTTAGAAATAAGTTCTTAAACTTATTTTTCTTATAACATAGAACAGTAAATAAAGAAGTAAAGCAAACAATTATCTCTTTTACTTACACCCTTTGTAATCGGTTGCTAAGCCTTTTAAAATTTCGCACTTGGAGGATATGAAAAGAAATAATTTTTTTTTAGGTTTTACATATACATTTGAATAACCAAAAATTCATATATTACTATATCGATATCATAGAATTCCACTATAATTTATCAAGCTTGGTAACTAAGCTATATTTGGGTCTAAATAAATATGATTTTTCTAGCAGACTAAAGACACAACCTACCTTGAAATCTTGTTTCGAAAGAAAGAAATAGCCTCCTAACACATGAAAATGGCTGAGAAAGCCACTAGGGGGATTTGCTTTCAATTGGTTATTCACATGTCATATATTGAAGTACATGCATATAAGGGACAGTTTCCAAAAATGGAAAGAGGTGAGCAGTGCCACTTAGTTTAATTCAGTACATGAGTGATATCTCAGCAAATAGAAAAGATATGATTCTTATTTTATATTCTAGCTTGTCAATATCGGTAATTTGAGTTCTTAATTAGTATGAAACTATAGACTTAGTATTTTCACATTACAAACATCTAATTTGAACCAGTGCTGCATTCAACATACCATGTGACACACAAAAATCAATGTTTAAACATGTTTTTTTAATATTTACTTTTAAATTAAGAAATTATATAATGTATAATATTAAAAGTTGAATTATAATGTACAGTTTGATACCAAACTTATTGATATAAATTCATGAAATAGTAGTTCAATAAAATTGTGAATGTGAATCAACAAATGTGATGACATGGACTTTGACCTGTGACCATCTGGAGAGGGTAAATAGCTATTCTTGTTCAGTGTTGGCTTCTACGTGCAAAAACTTTTTTCACCTCCACAAGCCTTCAGCTCTCATGTACCTTACAATCATATGGTTCAACACACTCTCCTGATGCATGTGACTCCCTCTATTCTATTCTACTGAACTATCACTTTGAATTTTGGCAGAAAATGGAAGCACTGGTTTTCAGAGGGGAGGAAGGGTGGGAAGTGTGAGAGAAGGTAAGTACATTATCTCCACTCACATAAATGGCTAGAATCCCACATTGAATAGATGGAGGGATTGGTAAGAGGAAAGCACTTGAAGAACACCCTACGAGAGTAGATCCTCCCATATGTGGGAAACAGTACCACTTCTATACTAGGTATACCAGTGTGTCCCAGACATGGGCATAAAATGGGAGAGAACAATGGTTGGATCAGAACCACAATATATTGGAATCTCAATCCCATAGAGCACATTAATGTGGGTGTGAGTAAAAGGATGTGCCCCCTAGGTGTACAGTGGCTAGGGCTAGACGGACCATCCACAACAATTAAACAGCATCCAAAACCCAGCCGCCAGGAACAGACTTCCACACAGGGGTAGGATAAGGATCATACTGGTGGCAAGTTAACTACAAACCAAAACCTAGCCACCACGAACTGACACCCATGTGAGGATAGAAAAGAGGATCATACCAGCAGCAAGTCTACTACAGTCCAAAGATGATCATACCATCTTCACCTCAAGTACAGCAGAACAGAGGAAATCTTGTACCCCCTATCTGTGAACAGGACACATGATAGCAATGTGATAAATTGTTTGGTCAATCCATGAACCTGACATCTGGATGATTGTCATAATAAAGATGTCTCTGTAATGGAAACTAACTCAAAATCATCTGACAGGAACGCTCCAAGCACAATAACATTCTTGATATATGAAAATCATCGAGGGATAGTGTAAGTGGAAGAAGCATATTAATCTGCAAGTTCAACCATCATGACTCACAACATGGGTGAAGGGCACAAGAGTATAATTGAGCGAGGAACAGAGACTCCTATAATACAAGTGCAAGGACTTTTGTTGATTGGTTCAGTTCTGAATCGAAAGTCCAGCCAATGGAAACTGACATCCATGTGGATGTAGAATGAGAGATCCCAATAGAAGGGGCTCACTCCAAAGCTACAACATCCCTTCGGATAAACCCGTACAGAGATGGAGCATTAGACTGAAGGACATATCATCATCTAGACCAGAAGAACACCACCACCCTACTCTCAACTGAATGATTTTAACATTAATTGTATATCAATATCACATTCAGGACAATGCCTCCACGGTCCACTACACCAGCAGCTTGGAACTGGAAAATGGTAAGGACTTCCATACACCACTGTAAGGAAAAGGGTGGAGAAAATGCAGTGGAGAGTCTTGAGAAACAGGTGACCACGAAAAACTCTATTTTGAAAAGCAGACCATACCTGATCTATTCAATCGAAGACATGGTAGGGATGGGTAGCTATCTCCTTCTGCTTTATCCAGGAATTCCATGAGCATATTAATGAAGCAAATATGTCACGAGAAAGAAACCAACAAGCAATCTTCTGGAACACCGCATCTCAACAGTGAGCATTTTATGGCCATGGAAATTATAAATCTGCAGTCAACCTGGCCTGACAATGTGGATTTGACTGATCAGGCACCACTTGCTACAGAGCAGGATCTATACAGTAAAAAAAAAGAGAAGAAAAAAGAGGGGAGGGGGAAAGACCCTGAAAAAGGAGATAACTTACCCAGTCAGAGACTCACTGAAGTCTGATGAATTTCCTCAAAGAGATACCTGAGATGAGACATTAGGGAAAGAGTAAGGTGCCTGATCTGATGAGGAGATACCTGGAACAAATTATGGGAAGAGCAATCAGAAGGACTTGACATGGAGTGGCATGGATGACTGAAATCACCCTAGGAAGAAGATGAATGGGAGGGTAATCTTTCAGGTATTTGTTGGTCCAATCTTGGCTGAATGCATCGACACCCAGAGCAAGTGGATAAGGAAACGAAGACCAAAACATAGGTAACTTGGTGTTGAGGGATGTGGCAAACACATCCAGGTGAGGAGTACCCCACTGAAGATATAGTCACTGGAAAATAAGAGAGTCGAGAGACCTCTCCATCATGATGGAAAAGATGATCCGCAACAAGATTGAATGCATCCAGAACATGGCATGCAAGGAGACAAATACCGAGCACATGGGCCCAAAAAAGGAGATTTAAGGTTTGACCACAAAGGAAACGAGAATGGGTGCTACCTTGGTAATTGATGCCACCACCGTAGATTTGTCAGAATGAATCATGATCACATGATTCCTGGCAAGATGAAGAAAATAATCCAAAGCACAATGTATGGCCAGAAGCTCCAGGATGTTGATATTGTAAGATATTTAAGCCAGAATCCACTGACCTGAAGCTTTCTGTTGATTGACCCCCCCCCCAAGCCAAGAAGGGAAGCATCTTTGAAGATATGCAAATCCAGACGACGGGGAGGGAGCAGAACACCCACCAACATGTGAGCCCTGTCCAACTACCAATACTGATCACCAACAAGTGAAGGAGGAAGGGAAATAGGAGCTTCTAATGGATCCTACACAAGATCGAACTGGTCGTGCAGAGCCCACTGAAGAGACCTCATATGCACTCGACCCAAAGGAATAAGGGCTTCCATAAAAGACCCCATCCTCAAAAGTGATATAACCTCATGAGCTGTAAGAGAGAGAGCAATAAGGGTGTGGAGAACTGAAAGCTCCATCAAATGAAGTTGAAGAGAAGGTTGGGCCCAACTGAGATGAGTGTTGAAAAAGACACCCAAGTGGACAAGATACTGGGTAGTTAAAAGGATTGCCTTATCCAACTTGATTAACCAACTCACATGAGCTGCCTCCAGGAGCAGTAGATGAGTGTGATGGGCAGACTCCTGTTTGGAATGAACTAACAGAAGCCAGTCCTCTGTGTGACGATGCAAGCACAATCCCTGAGCGTACAAATGTCGGACAAATGCCTTGATTGCTCGACAAAAGACATACGGGGCCGAATCAAGCCCAAAGGGCAAGGTGCAAAATTGGTAAACTACTCTGTTATGACCAAATCTTGACAGATGAGATGTTGGAACATGTAGGTAAACATTCATGATGTTTACCTTGGTCATCCATGGTAAATCGTTGTAGAATGAAAAATTGATTGAGGAGGGAGAAATCAATCACAAGCCACCATTTCCTGGTTTTCTTGGGTCCCACAAACAGCTTGGAATAAAAACCTGGAAAAGGATGAATGAAGGTTTGATAGCATTCTGGGAGAAAAGATCATGTATCACTTTTGACAGAAGCTGATTGGTGGTAGGATCCCAAGGCAATGGAAAGGATATGGACACCTGAGACAATGGAGGAGGGGAAAGGAAGTGGATGACAAGTCCCTCAGATAATACCCAAATAACCCACAGATTTGTGGTGAAAAGTTGCCATAGGGGAACAAAATCGGTCAAGCAAGCCCCCACTGGACCGGAACCCACAGTGTAATCACCAGTACTGTTGACGTTGTGTCCATCTGTGTTGAATAATACAACAAGAAGAGGAACCCCTAGAGGTAGGAACAGGTAGGGGCTGGGAAGGAGCGAGACGGGAAACAGTAATAGGAGCTTGTCTAGGCTCTGATGAGACAAATGATCCACCAAGGAAGAAAGGGTTGTTTGTTGTCTCACCAATTCCACACGGGATTCCAAAGTCTCAAGAACATTACCGAAAAATACTGCTAGAGAAAAGGGGCCCATATGTAAGTCTCAGACATAAGTTGATGGTAAATGAACCTGGGACAAAACAGTGTCCCTCCCCAGGAAATATCAACAACACAGAAACCACATGTGTAAGGAAAGATCCAAAAAAGACAAACATGCTGACATGGAGATAATCAGGGAGAAGCTATCCCTCAAAAAGCTCTCAGGATGTCAGTGAATCACCTTGGAAAGGAAGTAGATGGTAGACAAGTAATGTAGGAGAGTTGATATGATAAGACAAAGGCAGGAGAATTGGGAGTGGGATAAACAAAAAGGAAAATCAGGATCCACCTCCTACACGGCAAAATTGACTCCAACTGTTGAGAATCAAGAAACGGACATTCAGCCTGATGGTAGGCCAAAGCAAACTGATCAGAAGCCCGTGAATGGTGAGGCATGCTAGAAACATCAACCATCTGAGAAACAAAATGCTCTGCATAAACCCTAATATCCGGTGGAGTAGGGAAAACCAAATACTGAGAGGAGGGGTATCATGTAACAAAGAAAGAAGGAGATCATATGAAATTTGGGAAATGGATAAAACAGAATATACTTGAGAAATCATGGTTAAAACAGCCATATTAGGCCTAGCTGATTCTGCAGTAGGGGCTTGGAAAGATATGGCAAAAATCAAATGGAGGAAAAAAGGCTGTCAAAATCTTCGTTGACCCGAAAAAATTCAGCATGATCAGGAGGAATAGGGGCAACATCAGGAGAAACAGGTTGACTCATATAAAATCAATGTCATGATGAATGAGAGCCAATAAGTCCATAGACAAGTTATCCCCACCTGTTGCTTGTGTGAGTGTGCTAGTAGAGGGTATTGCCTCCAAAGTGGTAACTTGTACTTCAGTATTCATTGTGTAACAATGAATAATCAAGCACAACTGTTTGATGAAAAAATATATTGAAAACTGGGAAAAAAAAGTTATCAGAAAATTTGTGAACTTTAAAAAAAAGGAAAAATAAATCCACTTTGGAATTAATATATATAAAAAATGCACTAGGTTGAACAAAAAACCATGACTGAAAAACACAACAAAAAAACGTCTTGACATGAGTAAACGAGAAGTGATAGTTTGGTCAAATAGAACAGAGGGTGTTGCACGCGTCAGGAGTGTGTGTTGCACTCCTATTGGTGGAGGGTTTTTGCATCAAAATTTACATATGAGATGCAGTTGAACCATTTGATTGTAAGGTACATAGGAGCTCAAGGTTTGTGGTGTGCAAATATTTTTTTTGGAATATAGAGGGTAGCACTAAACAAGAATAGCTATTTATGTGAGAACAGGTAATGTACAGTATCGGAAATACTTTTATGAGCATTTAATGACTATATTATCATCACAGATAAAAAATAACACTAGCTGGATTATAATAATCCAGACAGACTTTTAGAAGTATTTAATGACAATATTATCATCATATATTAAATATAGCACTAGCTTGCCTATAACCATCCTATTCTCTACTGCTCCTACCAGAGACACTGATGTAAGTGAATCACAGTGTCATTGTTGTTCAGTTTACCTGATCCGATGTACTGCTTGTCGACGATATGCTGCTAGGTTTGTTCCGTGAATGTGAGTGGCTTCTATGATCTTTTGTAGGCAAAACAAGTTTAGAGGAATGTAGTTTTGGTACACCTACAATGGAGAAATACTACTGTTAACTATTCTTCTAAAGATAATACAAAGTTTTCTCAAAGGCAAGATTAGCAAGTGAAGTTTGCTGTAGACAACCTTCTTGAAACACAGGTCCTGATAAAGGTTGGTATAAGTCTAACAATCAAGTTGTTAATAAAACTCTTCACAAATATGAATTCATTGAATAAAAGACACAGAACTGAAATAATTATGTATAATTATTACAAGGATGAACCTTCTCAAGCACTGGAGAAATCCTTATGGATAACCCCAAATTAACAAATGTATAAGCACTATAATGAAAATTTCTACTTATCTCAAATACAAAACAATGTTCACCTTCTTCATATTGTTCTGTGTTCTCTGTTGATCTATCTTCTGTTTTAGAGGATCTACTTCTAGCAGACTTTTTGTGTCTGAACCTGCTAGTTACAAATTGCCTGCTCTCGTCCCGAGATAGTGTGTGATCAGAAATAAAACTCTCATTTTTTTCTCCAAGACTATAGAGGTGCTCTGAAACAGTATTCTCATTCTTCTCCCTAACAGTGGAAATCTGTTCTGAAACACAACTAGCAGCTGATGGCTGGTTGGATCCTGCTTCCTCGTGCAGATGTTCAGACACAACAGTGTCACTCATCCCCTTGTCTTCTGAGACGCTGCTAAACTTGGAATTATTCTTGTCTGAAACATGCTCAGCAGTATCATTGCTTACCTCTTTGTCCTCTGAGATACTACTACTGCTGCTAAGCTTAGATCGATTCCTTTCTGTAACACTCTCAGACACACCACTTAGCTGTACATCATGAAGTTTTTCAGATACATCTTCAAGTTTTGAAGAAGGAAGAGTAGATACTTGTTCAAAGTCACTGGTGTAAGAAAGATGATCTGAAAGTTTTTCATTACCTGTTCCAGGCTTCTGATAAAAGATAATAATAGATTATTAAAATGAAAGCCTTGACGGAAATTATAAAACTGGATCTTCTTGAATATTACTAATACAGCATTTTCAGTCAAGAAAAACTTATAACTCAGAGCTACATTCTAGTTTTCAGCTACACCAAGTAGTTAGGTATAACAATTGATATAAGTAAGTTCAAATGGTCACATTTCTTGGAAGGTAAAATTAACACTGAGCTTAATATTTCTGTGAATACATTATGATTATTAAAACAATAAATATTTCATTTTAAACTTATAAAATGTTTAGCAGTCACTAGTATATGTTCAGTCAGAAAAGTAATTCATACACCCACTATACTATTTTCATAACCTAAAAGCTCCATGTGTTTGATTAATGATAATCTTCAATATTAAAAAAGTCACCTACTTCCTTATATTAAGAAAAATACTAACTGTAAATTATAATTTTATTTGACTCCATTACTGAAATATTTCAGAAGATTAAAGTAATAGTTACCTCTCTGAAAGATATTGATTTTTGTTGCTGTCCTTGAAAAACTGCTGTTACAGCAGATGTAGCAGCTGCGGCAGCTGCAGTGGAAATCAGTCTAGTTGTTCCTTCACTGTGTTGTTGCCACAAAGCTCCGAACTCTTTCAGAGGAGTCACTTTCACCTTAAAGAAAACAATATGCACCAACTATATACACATGATCTTATTCTAAGTGCTGATAAAGGCAAAAATCGCAAGGGCTTGATATGTCATCATGTCAGCATCGTTTTCTTTTGTAATATAAGATTTTACAAACACGTACTTTGAATGTTGAATGTTACAAAATATTTATGTCTTAACTAAATCATTATTTTTAGACATACATGTTAGATCAGTTTTGTGTTAGATGAATTTTGTAATTTATATTCACTTTTTATACTTTGAGTGCAATTTTAACATATATCTGAATAAAAGATGTCATACTTCAAGTTTTTCTGTTAGATTTAGTAATTATTGTGACACCAAGACCATAACTGAAATACATTTTCTCTCCAGTCAAGTTATATTTATCCCCAAATCTGTCAAACCCTCAAGTGTCAAACTAAAGCACAACAATATTGAGAGATGAACTGGTTTACATAAATGTGTTGGATTCACTACATTTAAGAAACATTTTCAAGAATAATTTGACCTAACCAAAAAAAAATACACACTGTTAATTGAACAACAACAAGTTCTCATTACTCCAAAGTGCATGAGCTCAGTCTGCTGGGCCTATCCTGTATTATAGAAGAAATATTGACTACGAGTACCTACATGATATGTAGCAATATTTTAGTACACACACACACAACAAAAAAAAAAGATGAGTTACAAAGATATTTGTAATTAAAATATGTCTGTGAATTGATGATGATTTTCTGACTCAGTCTCTGACAAGTTGGAGTGTAAGGTGATGCTAATATGTGACAAATAGATATTTTTGGCTTTCGTATATGTTGCATTTGCATAATATCTAGAGCCTCTGAAATGCAAATCAACAGTCTTACTCAGTATCCATATATATTTTATTCAGTATTTATTCTTATTTAACACAAACTGTTGTAAAATCAGCAATTTAGGTTATAATGAACAGCTGATAAATATGACATCAAATACATAATACCATGTTGAATGGAACTCTGTAAAAAGTTATGGCTTGTGCACCTTGACTCCCACCTGACATTATAGGGTTAAAATTCATATATATGCATGTATGTTTAGTTGTGTGTGTGTCTATATATATATGAGATATAAGTAAGAGTTGAGATGTTGTGGGTGTAAGCACTCAACTGTGTACCATTAATGAATTTTCCATGACTGCTGTCTGGTTTCTCATCTGCTTTTTGGATTTTGTCTGATAGATGGGATATCCCCAATCCTTTTGTGTGCTATTATCACAGGCAATCTACGTTATGACTTTAGGATAATGACCGAAAAGTGCGAAGGTTAGAAAGTTTTTTATTTTCATTTTCAAATAGAGTTTTGATTTATATATATATATATATATATATATATATATATGTGTGTATGTATGTATGTGTGTGTATTCTCCTAGACTAAACTTTAACAAGCTCTGGTATATGTTATTTACTGAAAGATAATGCACTGTTTTGTATTCCCACAAGAAAACCTAAGAAAATCTCATAATATTGTAAACTATACCTTGGCAGGAATAAGAAACTTTTTCCAATTCAGTATTAAACTCTATCATATCTAACACACATAACATCTTAACCCTCCCGCTGCAGCTATCTTTTTCTATATTTCATGAGGTTTTACCGAGGTTACATTCAAAATTTAATTAAACTACTATATGATCATGGTAAATGAATACACTTGGCATGAAAACATAGCTAATAATCCAAATTTTAATATCATATAACAAGTTCTTAATTTTATAAGGAAATATCTAAAAACAATCCTAAATTTCTCCTACTATGATAATTGTGGCATTTGCTCTCTAGGTCTTCCCTCTTCTCTAATATATTTACCACCCCTACCAAAAGTATGAAATTTAATGTAAATTACTTAATATAATACTGTTATCACTCAGTCAAAGCCCCATTTTTATAGCCTTCAATCTTATTTGGTTACAGGGCCATAAACTAATAAATCAAACCACTCTTGCCATGGACACCTGTCACATTTAATACTAAATTATTTATAACCAAGAGAAAGCCAGTTTTAATCTATCAAATGATGTATTACATTAAATTATTTGCTGTACAGAGAACTGCCTATTTCACTTTCAGTTCAACCTTTATCCCCATGGGAAACACACTGACAAGCTAAGCTGAATATTTAATGGTTCTTATTGCATGGTTAGAAAGCCAGAAAAATTATCATAGTTAAAGGACATTGTGTGCTTTTTACATGCTATTATTATATTTTCTTAAGTGAATTATTTAATTAAATAAAAAACTAGTTAGCGCAGAGTACCATCATTATAAAAAAAGAAGGGTTAAGTTTCATTGCCAGTCAACAACAACAACAACAAAAAAAAGACCCATGTGTATTATTTATTTATTATTATAAAAGTAACCAAAATGTAAGAATTATAAACGTTTTAGGTTAGAGTAGGTAAAATAAGTAATTATAATAATAAAAATATTTCACGAGGTATGCTCATGAGCTACTCGCAAGTAGCTTTTGCATTACGTAATTCGATAGGGTAACATGAGCTACATGTTTACCAAGTTATTTAGAACTTGAGTGGTAGGAATATTAGTTAGACAAGGTTGAAAAGGCAATAACACAATAAAATGTAAGTATAAACAGATATATACTGCTATGAGTTTAAAGTTATTCAGGATAAACAAATGTAGTTTCAGGTTACCATATGAAATAATTCTTGAAAGAAAAAAATGGTAATTTAGATTTATTTTGAATTGTTTTTTGGTAAGTTACAAGGTCAGTAAAATTGACAAACCTTGTATGAAGTAAGTGTAATAATGTAATAATGATAAAATATAAAGTTTTACTGAAAAAAAAAATTATGAAATTTATTTAGGAGGTTTTAGAGATTATACAAATGAAATCTGAGAATTTTCAGATGAAGTATTTTAACATGAAAATCATTTTGCACTCAGAGAAAATGTTAGTAAAAATACTTCATTAGAAATTCTAATTTTTTTTGTCTACAAAAGACATGATGCGTACTGAAAGCTTGCAAAATTTTGTGAAGATATTCATAACATATTAGACGTAACAATATGAAAACCATAAAAGTCAATTTGGGGTTAATTTTTAGGTCGAATCAAAAACTTAATAAGAGTGTTAATAGAGAAACATTTTCCATGCAGAGAACATGATGTTTATGTTTTGCTAACCTTGGCAAGTTCTCGAGCAGCTTCAGCTGTAGCAACTGCAGCTCTTGCTTGATAATTCATTAGCTTCTGAGCAGAGTCTGTAAAGGCTCTCTGAGCATTGTCCTCTACCATCTGCTGCTGGCTATGTCGGATCAAGTCCAATTCATGCTGTTGTCTCTGAATCTCCTGATGAAGCTCACGATGTTCTTTTTTGTGAGACTGTTGAACATCCTGAATAACAGTTAAAAACTGAATCAATGAATTCTGAAAGCCTTACATCAATATTTGTATTCTTAATAGTATAGTAGTATCATGGTTGCTACTTACTTAATTACATCATACTCATATACTACCTAGTTCAATGTAGTGGCCTACTAAAATAAACTTAATCAGATTGCACCCATGAACTTATCAGTTAGAAATCTAATAACTCATAGTAATAGAGCCAAATACATACAAAACAATATTAATTGTTGTAAAAACTGAGTCTAGAGTATTTGTTGAATACAGTAATCATACCACAGGGAATAATGTTTTTTCAAAATCATACATTTTATCTGTTGTCTATTATATTGTTCATCTTCAGCATCACTTAAAGGTCACTATAATACACTTATTTCTTATTGTATTTAAAGAGATGAAAAACAGGAACAAAAGGATGAAACTGTGTACACATATATATCATTGAAAGGAAAAGTTACATGTATCTGCTAGTGTATCAGGTGCACATTCTGAGAACAAATAAATAGCAGCACAATTAAGTTCATATAATTTCCACCATTTCATCTATTACTGTGAGTATAATGTACACAATCTAAGGACAAATATATAGTAGCATGACTAAGTTCATTTGCATAATTCTAATAACTGAAAAACTGCTTGCATCCACTAGCATATAACAAATGTGAACAAATAAATAGCAAACTGACTAATTAAATATATTAATACAGAATATGTTATTTTCACTACAGCAAACTTGTACATCAATACAGAATACCACATTTTCACTACAGCACATTAATATATCCATACAGAATACAACATTTTCACTACAGCACATTTATATATCGATACAGAATACGACATTTTCACTACAGCACATTTATATATCCATACAGAATACGACATTTTCACTACAGCACATTTTTATATCCATACAGAATACGACATTTTCACTACAGCACATTTATATATCAATAGATGATATGCCATTTTCACTACAGCACATTTATATATCCATACAGAATATGACATTTTTACTACAGCACATTTATATATCAATAGATGATATGCCATTTTCACTACAGCACATTTATATATCGATACAGAATATAACATTTTCAGTACAGCACATTTATATATCCATACAG